GTGAAAAATTTTTTTGACATAGGGTGCAGGCAGATTAAGGGCCTCCCAATAGCTGCTGCCAGGCACCTAATCTGCCATGGGCCCTATATACCGCCTCCCCTGCCTCACATGTGCTGCAGATTACGGGCCTCACATAGCTGCTGCCAGGCCCCTAATCTGCCATGGGCCCCTATATACCGCCTCCTCATGCTGCTGCCAAGTCCAGAGTCTGTCATGGTCCCTGTACGGCCTCCCATTGCTGCTGTCTCCATCGCCACACACTCTGCTGCCATGTGCCACTTTGCTGCCAGGCCCCTAATCTGCCATGGGCCCCTATATATACCCACCCTCCTCCTCATGCTGCTGCCAGGTCCAGAGTCTGTCATGGGTCCCTGTACGGCCTCCCATTGCTGCTGTCTCCATCGCCACACTCTGCTGCCATGTGCCACTTTCAGGTCTCTTCACACTGCTGGTGTGTTAAATTTTTTTTGACATAGGGTGCTGGCAGATTACGGGCCTCACATAGCTGCTGCCAGGCCCCTAATCTGCCATGGGCCCCTATATACCGCCTCCTCATGCTGCTGCCAAGTCCAGAGTCTGTCATGGGTCCCTGTACGGCCTCCCATTGCTGCTGTCTCCATCGCCACACTCTGCTGCCATGTGCCACTTTCAGGTCTCTTCACACTGCTGGTGTGTTGAATTTTTTTGACATAGGGTGCAGAGATTACGGGCCTCCTATAGCTGCTGCCAGGCCCCTAATCTGCCATGGGCCCCTATATACCGCCTCCTCATGCTGCTGCCAAGTTCAGAGTCTGTCATGGGTCCCTGTACGGCCTCCCATTGCTGCTGTCTCCATCGCCACACTCTGCCATGTGCCACTTTCAGGTCTCCTCACACTGCTGGTGTGTTTGAATTTTTTGACATAGGGTGCTGGCAGATTACGGGCCTCCTATAGCTGCTGCCAGGCCCCTAATCTGCCATAAGCCCCTATATACCGCCTCCTCATGCTGCTGCCAAGTCCAGAGTCTGTCATGGGTCCCTGTACGGCCTCCCATTGCTGCTGTCTCCATCGCCACACTCTGCCATGTGCCACTTTCAGGTCTCCTCACACACTGCTGGTGTGTTGAATTTTTTGACATAGGGTGCTGGCAGATTACGGGCCTCCTATAGCTGCTGCCAGGCCCCTAATCTGCCGTAGGCCCCTATATATACCGCCTCCTCATGCTGCTGCCAGGTCCAGAGTCTCTCATGGGTCCCTGTACGGCCTCCCATTGCTGCTGTCTCCATCGCCACACTCTGCCATGTGCCACTTTCAGGTCTCCTCACACTGCTGGTGTGTTCCATTTTTTGTCATAGGGTGCTGGCAGATTATGGGCCTCCCATAACTGCTGCCAGGCCCCTAATCTGCCATGGGCCCCTATACCGACTCCTCATGCTGTGACGTTGCAACAAGGTGGAATTCAACCCTACATATGTTAGACCGCCTTTACGAACAGCAAAAGGCCATCACAGATTTCCTGATGTTAAAAGCAGATAAAGGTACTCCCTGTGTAACTTAGATGTCAGCCATTGGCAGCTCATGCGTGACACCTGCGCTTGCTCAGGCCCTTTGAGGAGGCCACGCTATTCGTGAGTCGGCAGGACTATGGGATGAACGACGTCATTCCTCTGTTGCACGTCCTGGAACAAATGCTGTTAACAATGGCTGGTCAGGGTGCGGTAGACGTGGCGCACAGATCTCAACGCCACATGGCCCCTGTGGGGGCAGGACTGGAAGAAGAGGAGGAGGTAGAGGAGGACATTGGTGCTCAGGAATTATTGAGTGAAATGGGTGGTTTTTCCACTCAGCGGACAGGAGTGGAGGAGCAGGAGCATCTGGTAGAGGAGGAGGAAGAGGAGACAGAGGACCTAGACGCACCGTGGCAGTATGCTGTGGAGATGGAGGCAGGGAGTCCCTCGCATTCCTTGGCACAAATGGCCCATAGCATGCTCGGTTGCTTGCGTAGCGACAGCCGAATAATAACCATCAGACAGAGGGATGACTTTTGGCTGTCCACCTTGTTGGACCCTCGCTACCGTTCAAAAATGGTGGCCTTTTTCACACCTGCTGAGAGGGAGGCCAAAATAACGTACTATAAAAAACACCTATGTAGTCAGCTGGTCTCTGCCTGTCTGCGCCAACGTCCATCCTCAGACACTGTGGGCCCTGTGCGCTCGTGTTCCGCTGCCATGGCAGCAGGGGAGGGGTGGGGTGGTAGGAGCAGTGGCAGCTCCACCAGCAGCAGCGGCTGCCTCAGTCTGCAGTCGATGATGAGTAGCTTTCTTCACCAGCGCAGTGAGGAAACTACTAACCAGCCGCAGCAGCAGCAGCAGCATCAGGTGGACCTGGAGCAGGACCTCAAACAACAGGCTTAGGCCTACTTGGACAGCACCCTGCCAACCGAGGTAGACAATCCCCTTGACTACTGGGCAACGAAACTTGACCTTTGGCCCCAACTAGCTGAATTTGCCCTTGAAAGGCTGTCATGCCCGGCCAGTAGCGTGGCATCGGAGCGCGTGTTTTAGTGCGGCAGGAGGTATTGCAACTCCGCGGGGACACGACTGTCCACCCAAAGTGTGGAGAGACTCACGTTTGTGAAAATGAATCAGGCGTGGATTAGTCTGGATTTCAAACCACCAGTTCCTGACACAACTGACTAAATCCGCCATGAATCATGCCCCAAACATGTGCCACTTTCAGGTCTCCTCACACTGCTGGTGTGTTCCATTTTTTGTCATAGGGTGCTGGCAGATTACGGGCCTCCCATAGCTGCTGCCAGGCCCCTAATCTGCCATGGGCCCCTATACCGCCTCCTCATGCTGCTGCCAAGTCCAGAGTCTCTCATGGGTCCCTGTACGGCCTCCCATTGCTGCTGCCTCCCATCGCCACACTCTGCCATGTGCCACTTTCAGGTCTCCTCACACTGCTGGTGTGTTCCATTTTTTGTCATAGGGTGCTGGCAGATTACGGGCCTCCCATAGCTGCTGCCAGGCCCCTAATCTGCCATGGGCCCCTATACCGCCTCCTCATGCTGCTGCCAGGTCCAGAGTCTCTCATGGGTCCCTGTACGGCCTCCCATTGCTGCTGTCTCCATCGCCACACTCTGCCATGTGCCACTTTCAGGTCTCCTCACACTGCTGGTGGGTTCCATTTTTTGTCATAGGGTGCTGGCAGATTACGGGCCTCCCATAGCTGCTGCCAGGCCCGTAATCTGCCATGGGCCCCCGTACCGACTCCTCATGCTGCTGCCAGGCCCGTAATCTGTCATGGGCCACTGTTGTCGCTTGTTGGCATATTCCGCTCGTTCAGATGCTCCTTCTCCTGCTACTCCTCTTCACGGATTCCGTCAGCAGTCTTTCTTGGAATCCGTTTCCAAGAGACAACAGTTTGCGAGCACGCACCCGACGGTGCAGAAGCTGAACGTCCTCCTGTCCAAGTTGCTGCTGCCAGGCTCGTAATCTGTCATGCGCCCCCTGTACCGCCTCCTCATGCTGCTGCCAGGTCCAGAGTGTGTCATGGGCCCCCGTACCGACTCCTCATGCTGCTGCCAGGCCCGTAATCTGTCATGGGCCCCTGTACCGCCTCCCCATGCTGCTGCCAGTCCAGAGTGTGTCATGGGTCCCTGTACGGCCTCCCATTGCTGCTGCCAGGCCCGTAATCTGCCATGGGCCCCTGTACCGACTCCTCATGCTGCTGCTGCCAGGCCCGTAATCTGTCATGGGCCCCTGTACCGCCTCCTCATGCTGCTGCCAGGTCCAGAGTGTGTCATGGGTCCCTGTACGGCCTCCCATTGCTGCTGTCTCTATCGCCACACTCTGCCATGTGCCACTTTCAGGTCTCCTCACACTGCTGGTGGTTTCCATTTTTGTCATAGGGTGCTGTATGGCCTCCCATTGCTGCTGCCTCCACCGCCACACTGTGGCTCCACACTCTGGTTTTGGCCCCGTGACTGCCCAAATGAGTGAAGTGTGCGGTGATTCTAAGATCGACGGCACTCATCTGCATGTCATACTGACTGACAGTAGTATTTTCTCTTCCCCAGCAGACTCCAAGGGCATTTAAATTAAAGGTACAGTGTTCTGCACTAATATTAAGTCTCTCTGAAGCCTAGAAACACCCTTTTTTAAGTTAAATTCACAGCGAATTTATTCGACTCGAATCGAATATTGTCCACGAATTCGCCGAATCAGTCGAATCGAATTTTTCATTTCTTCTCACCCCTATTCATATTCACTTTGCGCATGGACACAGATAGACAAACAGCTATTTCTTCAGACTAGCAAAAGGTAGAAATCTGAAACAAAGTTTGTTGAAATCCCTGCAATGTATATAGATCACCCAGAGGGGAAAGTTTTCTTCTCAATGAAAATGGAGTTACTCTTTTAGTCTTTAGACAACTCATGGCTGACCAAAATAGCTATTAAAGTGGAGCTCCACCCATAAGGGGAAGTTCCGCTTTAAGCCTTTGTCCACCGCTCCCCATTAAGAATTGACACCTTTGGGGAGCAGGTACCCAAATTTGACAGGTACCTTCTCCCACTTCTGCTCTGGTCGCCTAGGCAATTGGTGAGTGGAAGTTGTCTTCCCCCTCTCCCTCCCTGTAGTCTTCTGGGACACGTGGCAGGTCCCAGAACACCATGGGGCCATTCACAAAGCGCAGTACTTCTCGCGCATGCGCAGTGGGTGCCCAGCTGTGAAGCCAGAAGCTGTCACAGCCGGGTGCCCACACTGAAGATGCCGGCGCCAGGGAGAGAAGACGGCCGGTGAAAACCAGCGGTGGTGAGGACACCGCTGGACCAAGGGACAGGTAAGTATCTGCATTTTAAAAGTCAGCAGCTACAGTTTTTGTAGCTGCTGACTTTTTTTTTAATTTCAGGTGGAACTCCGCTTTAAGGCCTTAGCAGTTCATCAATCACTCTTGCTCTTTTCCCTTCTCTAATTTCAGCACCAAAAGCAGAAACTCTCACCGTGAGTTTGATCTGAAAATGCAGCTGATGTTCACAGGAAATTAAATATAATAAATATATGAAATTACAATAACCCACAGTTTACAAAAGTTTGGTAACTTCAATGAAAAAAAAACCCCCCTACATGCTGTTCACAATAATTATACATTTATCTATCGTGCTTTCTTTGAGGAAGCAGGGCAACTGGAGACACGACATTGAATCAGAAGGTTACCGTTTTCTTTCAACTACTTTCTTCTGACCTTTAAAAGGTAGTGAAATGTCAGTGGCGCCGGATATGGGGTATGTGCAGACTGTGTCTTCATTTAACGTAAGACCAGAGACAGGCCAGGCTGAAGACATATTCATACTCTATTCCCTCTTCCTCTGTCTCTTGATCTTTCTCTCTCTCTCATTTATATAGCATATTTCCTATATTGGTATGCACATGTTGCAATACTTTCACAGTAAAATAATCACTGTTTCCTTTGACTAGTAATGTTTTATGCTTTTTTTCCAGCGCAAACAGAAATAAGCTATCAGCTGTATT